GTGAGAGTAGAAAAGTGCTATATAAGAATCAGTCCATTTGGTATTTACTCACATGATCTTGGACTAAAAGAAACATTTGTTTGATGACCATTTGATGCAGCAGAGCGGCAAATAGGTGTCTGCTCACGACAGGTGAGGGCATATCCAAATATGCTTTTCAAAGAGTTTTATATTTACAGGTAAAGGCCCTGCAGAAATCCAGAGAAAACCAAAAATGATTGCCTACGAGCAGCACCTGGAAACAGTGGCAAGGAAGAACTCCCTTTTAACAGGTAGAGACCGTGACTGGTTGGGTGTAGGGGTTAAAGAGAAGAGAGCAGAGGGTAAAAAAAAAGGAAGTAGGTCAGGACCCAGAAATCAAATACCTGGAGCTGTTTGTACCTCCGAGCTAGCAGCATGTTCATGAGCTAGCTATAACTTTTTCAGGTTTCCCTGTAAAACAGCAGGAACGCTGTTAAGTACGAGTGGGCTGTCAGTTCAGGTTAGCCGACACAGAAGACGTGGGCCCGCCAGGTCGGTCTGTTCTGCGTGAACAAAACTAATGTGTAGTAAAAAGAGTAAAAGCACTTATTTTGGTGTGCACAAACATCCAGATCTGACTGATAAATGTAAAAAATGAGGTGGACAGAAATCTATCACAGCGTCAGCTGGGCCCCGCCTCTTTCTCTTTGACAGACATGTGATTAGCAGGTGGAGAATTCTTGATGGAAGGCTGCAGCTGCAGGTGTGGTGAAGCACACAGGTATGCAACCAATTAAACAATTCCCTCGTTGTTCTTGAGACACACGTGTAATATGAAGCGTGGCCACGCAGCAGGTGCAGCATCACATGCTCGATCCTTCCTCTCGCTGAACATGTGCAGTTCATCATGGAGGTCTGAAAGAAGGCTGAGTGTGAGCCGGGAATGTGATATTTACCTGGATTTATCCGAGTGGGACTTTGTGGAGGGCGGATCGTTGGGTCTGCGGTGCAGCGCCGCTTCCCATGGCTCTGATTAGATGGCATCTCCACCACAGGCTCAGCTCTGTTTGGGTTCCACTGGGAAAGCTTTCTGCTGGCTGCTTACACTGAAACACTCGGCTGTTTAGGGACAGAGCCGAGTCAATGGTGCCGTTGACATGTAATCCTTGTCATAACAGACTGAAGGATGCGTGTCATCACATCCACGGGAAGGTGAACGCACTCCAAGGAATGAGGCGGCGCTGAAGGCGTGTCAGCTGACTTCCTGCGTTAGTTTGAATGACGTGCGGCAGCTGTGTGTTTTATACTCGGACTCTACCCTGATTTGTTCTTTATCAACTTTATCAACCCCTAACCCACCTCCAACTGGAGGCAGGGCCCAAACCTTCATCCTAACCCTAACCCATTGGGAGACTCTCCAAATACTACAATAATAGGACGACACCTCTTGGCGGTGCTATGCCAAAATAAAGGTTGTTACACACTGCAGCTACAAGCAGCACCGTCATGGAAAAAGAAAACCTCTCGTTCAGGTCTCAGAGTATGTCTCACACCTGCTGTATCTGTATGAAGGAGACGACACAGGGGCTGCTGACTGACAGGTGGACTCACACAGGTGAAGCTGATGAGGGCGGGACCAATAGTCACAAAGGAAGCAAGACTGCATCCCACTGCAAGTTTCGTAGAGGGGATGGATTTTGAAGTTTTCCAGCTTTTCCTGCCGATAGTAGAAAGTACATATGAGGCAGCAGCTCTTGTTTCTAATACTCTGATATCTCGGAGATTAAATGAACAGTTAAACTTCTTTCGCCGGTCCGTCCCACTCGATATTAAACCATGCTGTACATCAGGTGTGTCTGTATTACTGCTCTGAGTTGTTTCAATCGGCCATATTTGCGTTGTTTCTGCTCCGCACACACTCGGGTCAGAGTGGATCTGCTTCTGAGATTCAGACTGAGTGTGTGTGATCCCGCAGGCGTGTTGAAGCTGCTGCTAACATTCTCCTCAGGCCTGCCTTTATCTGCTCTCTGCTTAAGAATAAAGTTTTATGATTGTGCGCTGGAACAATACAGCGGGCTCTTTACAGCCGGGCTGGAGACTTCACGTGATGTTCAAGGGCACCTCGACAATACGTTATGAGGCAGTAAGGAAGTGCTGCTGACCTTGGTATTCGAGCCAACGATCTTACAGTCAGAGAGCGTTCCCATGAAGACGAGCCTGCTGCTGTTTGCTGATAAAGAACGATATCTCAGAGTGCTGCGGCGTGTCAGCAGATCTCTGCGGCTCCATGATGAGGACGTTTGTTATCAGGTCACCGGGACGCACAGAGGCAGCATAAACACCACACCGGGAGAAGCCTTAACCCCAGCAGGGGTCCTGAAATCACACAAAGTCAGTTTCTGTCAGATCTGTAAACACAACAGCAGAGAAAAGCACAGCCAGTGTGCTGTGACACACTCATCTTTACAGGTGTGTGAGGAAAGCCTGTGCCTGGCTGCAGCATGTGACTGAGCCCACCTACACAGATGTCAGCCTGATGTCTGCAGCTGGACAGATGTGGTAGTATAAGGGGAGGTTTGTGATGGCTCAGTGCATTAATCCAGCATGCTGCAGACTGTCTGCGTCATCACACACATGCACACACACTTTAACCTTCACTCACAAGCCTCCAAGTACGGAATGCACACAAATCAGTCATCGCGATAAAACCTCCTGCTCACCCGTCCTGAGGGTCGAGGGTGTGGCCTCTGTGATTCACGCTCAGGTCCTGCACATGCTCAGTCACACTGGGAGTTAAAAGGCCTGGTCATGCCTCTTATCAACACCTGCAACCTGTGTCAGCTTTTTATGTTCAGCTCCATCGCTGTAACCAGGACCCAAACAGGAAGCAACAAAAACACAGTGAAATCTGTGAGGGCGGGACAATCACAAAAGTGGGGAAGAAAAGCAGGAAGAAAAATGCAGGACAAGAACAACCTTCAAAGTAAAACAGGAAGTAACCGAAAGAGAAAAAAATGGACTCATGAAGACCTGTACCTTCTTGTGTATTTGACTGTGCTGGATGTAATGTGTATACAGTGGTCCCTCGTTTATCATGGAAGTTACGTTCTAAAAATAACCCACGATAGGTGAAATCCGCAAAGTAGCCAACTTTATTTTTTACAATTCTTATAGATGTTTTAAGGCTGAAAAAACCCTTACTACACACTTTATACACGTTTCTTAGACAGGCAAGAAGATTTTCACACTTTTGTCTCTTGTTTAAACACCCTCAAACCTTCGTAGAAAAATAAGTCCAGTATTATATTATAATCTGAAAAATACGGTAATCTCTATCTTCCTTTAGCATGTCCAGAACTTTTTGTGCGATGGTTAGCATCTTCCTCTGCCTTTTGGGTGCTACCACAGGTGCCTCTGACGGTGTGAAAAGTTTTGTCGACATTGTTGTGTTTGTTGAGGAGAAAACTTACAACATACAAACATACAGTACAGCACTTCAGAGTCACACTGCTAGCGATCGAATATGTATGTAAATTTGATAAGCTGAACGCATTCTGTACTGTACAGGAGATATGGCACGGAGGAGATTGTTTGACGGTGGTCTACAGCCACAGAACACAATGCGCTGTAATAAAAAAAAAGCATGCAAAATTGCACAAAAAAATCAGCGAAACAGCAAGGCCGTGAAAGGTGAACCGTGTTATAGCGAGGGACCACTGTAGTCACATTCCGTTACTGCCTTACGTTTATGTGGTCAATGTGATACAGAGGCCCTTCAGTAATCTGCATGAATGGAAATGGAAAAAAAAACCTGATTATTTTTTTCTTCCTACAGTCAGTTTAGTTCAGTCAGTGTGCGCGAGGGAATGATGGAGCAGTGTGCGGCTGGAGAAGCGCAGATATGAAGATGACTTTTTTCCATTTTAAAGGACAAAAACTCCAGAAACGTCTGCACAGATGGCATGCTAACCAATCTGCACAGACTACATGCTAACACATCTGCACAGACGGCATGCTAACACATCAGGTAACAGCAGCAGCGCTGAGCAGGCAGGGTTGAAGCTCCATGTCTCTGCAGTAGCATCAGGGAGTTGATTGCTTCTCTCTGTCAGGTATAAACTGAGCAGTTCCATCCCTTTCTTCATGATGGGAGCCGTGCATGCTTACACTTGCATTTCTGTGGATTTAAATGCATCAAACATCAGTATGATTGTTGAGCAGTTTTAATTTAATTGCGCATGTTTGAAGCAGCTGATATGAGGAATAATTGAAGCCTATGTTCTTGGTGTGCTGCAGATGTGGAGCTGCTGCCTTGTCCCTCTCATGTAGCTGCTGCTGCTGAGAGTCAGGAGATTATGCTCCCCCTCCTTCAGGCCCATTACCATTTTCCTTTCTTCTTTTGTTTCTGTGTGCCTTCATCTTTATATCAGCAGGGTTTTTACAGATTTAGTGATCAATGTGAGCTGTTCTTGTTCTTCTCCTTTGAGAAAAACAGACAAAGGAAGTAAAAATAAATGCAAAGCACAAAAGACTACCAAAATAAAACAAGAAGTAACAGAAAAGGGGAACAGTAATGCAGACGTTACACAGAGAGCAGAGGAAACCGAACTCCAAGAGGCAGAACTGAGACTGAGAATAAAATCATGCAGAGAAGTAAACTAAAGTAACAGAGCTCAGAACATGCTGGGCAGCAAAGGCGAAAACCAAAAACAAAGTGAACACGCCGATGACCTCGACGGGGCCCCGGCACCAGACCGAGGCTGTGTGCAGCTCCAGCATTGTCCTGTAGGTGGCAGAGTGAGCTGAGGATCTATTTTAAGCTCAGCTGAGCTGAAGGAAAAGATATTTATAGCTCCTGATCTGTTCACTGTTAGCTGCTGAGGCTTTCACACACACAGAGCTAAATATAGCCAGCATCCACCCTCTGCAGCGTACCCTCCTTCCATGCGTCTCCACACAGAGGAAGTGCCTCTCTCTCACACACACACACACACACACACACACACACACACACACACACACACACAGACACACACACACACACACACACACACACACACACACACACACACAGACACACACACACACACCTGGGCTTACGTGATGCTCTTACAGACAGAAACATGATTCTGATAGAGTTTCTTAATAAAGGCAGAGATCATAAAGAAATGCATCTGTATATATATTTGTCAGACATGTAGCGAAGCAGCTCTCTTCATCTTCATCATTTCACCTCTTCGAAGGAGCTCTCTGGTCGAAGCAGCCATCATCAGCTCGGGTAAAACTCCTTTGATGATGTTGGTGAAGCAGGCTGAACGCTGCAGCAGCTCGCCGCCTCGTTTCTGCTGAACGCCTGACTCACAGAGTTCATCGGGATACAGAGTGTGTTACAGTGAGCCGCACTGATGTCTCACATCAAAAGCAGCGTGAAAAGGCTCACCCTGTCGGTGAAACATGTGACCCCCTGCTGTTTTTATTCAGTTCATCTGAACTCTTTGGTGTCAGATAAGAAAGAAAAGCACTGCACTCCTTTTATATCACCACTCTTTACTTTAGCTGCTGAACCTGGAAACGATGCTCTGCATCAGCTCATACTCAGCGTGAAAGCAGGAAGTCCCCGACGGAGAGCTGCCGACGCTCCGGGGCGTCCACACAATGATTGTTTCACTCTCACTGGCTGATTTCAGTTCAACTGTCAGAAAATACACAACAACACAATAAACTCAACACTGAGACAGAAAGAGGCAAACACACACACACACACACACACACACACACACACACACACACACACACACACACACACACACACGTGTGAGATGAATACTTTACTTGTAAACAGGCAGGGTGCACAGGCAAGTACACACATTCTTAACTAGCAGTACACAGACTTGTGTTAGTTGAAGTACTGATTCAAGTAACAGTCAAAGTACAGGTAGTGCAAAGCTAACTGAAACTCCTGCTAAAGTAATATTACAACACGGGAGTTTTTTCTTTTGCTTTGCCTCCACCGTAAACAGAAATCAGCCATTACAGCACGGTGTAAGAAGGTGGAGGAGCTCTCAGTGGCTGTAGTGGCACAGTGTGAAGCTGCGACCAGCTGACCTCTTCAACAACACAGACTTACAGTCAGCACGGTCCTTATGTTTAAATCCAACTTTCTTCTTCCTCCCTGTGCTCTTTCTTCCCCCTCTCTCCATCTCTGAGTGAGCTTCTCTCATGCTGTGATCCAGCAGCTGGACCTTCAGGTCACACACACTGAGATAAACACACACACCAACAGTTTGTGATAGAAACTACTCCCTTTATGTTTGCTCCTTTTCTGTAGCGATAGTTAGATCCTGAATTATCGCAAACACAACTTTATTAACATCAGGACCATGAACGCCATCAACCCCTGAGTAAAGCGCTTTAAATGATGTATAAATTACAGCTTTCATCTCTATGTGGCATACCTGAAGTATAAGTACCTGGGTGTTCACTGATGGTCTTTACAGGAAGGCTGAGAGCAGACTCAACCTGCTGAGGAGACAGAGATCTTTGGAGTGCAAGAGGTGCTTCTGAAGGTGGCGTCGGCCATGTTGTCTGTTGGAACAACAGCCTTTCAGTTGGATAAGCTCATCAGGAAGGCCGCCTCTGTCCCAGTGCAGGGAGTCATGTTTTTTGGAGACTGAAGTGACCGCGAGGGTGTGTTAAGGTATCAGCTGCACCACCTAATCAGTAACATCCAATCAAAATCCTAGAATTTTCTCCTGCACCAAATCTGGAGCTCACCCTTCCTGCACAGTCTGTTAGTATAGTGACCTCACAGCAGCCATGCTACTCGTCACATGATGACATTAAAATGCTCCAAAAGGCTCCGACAGCACAAACAAGGTCCAGAGGTCCAGTTCAGGTGTAGCTAGCTGACAACTAGCAGCTACAGCCACCTGTGTCATCATCCTTCTGTCAGTCAGAGAGACCATGCACCTAATAATGCAAACTTTTAGCCTTAATATAATTTAAACAGGTGAGTTACAGACACATCCTCCCCTGAACAGCTGTTATATTTCTCTCTGAATTCAGTGTTTCTGTTTCAGGTAAATGTGTTTATTTTAACACTGGAGTGTATGGGGACTGACTCACTGCTGCCTCTGCTGGACGCCAGAGGAGCTGCAGCTTCATGTTTTAGCTTGTTATTCAGTAGAAGGTGAAAACATGTGCACACTGATGATGATGATGCATGAAGAAGAACAGCCGTGTCTCCAGATGTTTAACTGTAAAAGAGGCTGAGTTGGTGTGGGCCTCACAGCTTCGTAAATCATCACAAATATTCAGGTGCTTCTTCTCACGACTAACATCTGATTATGAAATGATGCAATGCCACAAAAAAGGTTTGAGTTTAGTTTTATTGAAGCCACACTCAGTTCTCTGCTGCCGCTGCTGCTCAGATCTCCCACCTGCTGTGTGAAGACTGAGTTCAACATCACAACTCTGGCAGCGCTTCATGCTCGGCTGAGGTCACGCAGCCCTGCAGCATCGAGGAAATCATCAGAATGACTCAGCAGGACCAGCTGAGCAGCAGTTTCATGAAACCACACAGAAACAAAACAGGAAGTACAAACTGTGGCTGCGATTACCAAACACACACACACACACACACACACACACACACACACACACACACACACACACACACACACACAGAGTTAATCTGATCATGCAAACATGCTCTGAGTCTCTGCCTCCCTCTGGTGGTGAAAATGCAAACAGCATGCGAGGAACATGTTGACCTGTTTTCTGATCAGACAGAAAAAGCCAGAAATGTTCACTCTGTGGTTTCCGTGTGTGTATGGGTTCAAATATCTACTTCATCCACAAGAAGAAACGCTGCAGCTTCATCTGCATGTCTATTTGGATTAAAACTTCCCAAAATAACTGAGGCTGCATTTAAGGAATGAACCGCTCCTCTCATCCTAAACCAGCCTTCAAGGAGGGGAAATCAGGTAAATGTTATCAGGCTGAGATTTCTGAGTCCATCTGACTAACCCTGAGGACATATGGTATTTTAGGAGAGAAGCATCCCCCTCCTCCTCCTCCTGATGGGAAGTTCTGCTGCTCATTCCTGTGCAATATCCCATCTGCCCTCCCGTCATATTTGTTTTCAAGATTTTCTTATTTAATCACTAGTGTACATATATTTATATTTATAGATACATATATATTTAGTCATCTTTTCTCTTTTACCATGTCTCTCTAATATTTTGCTCCTTACTATTTTTCTATTTTTTTTTTATTATTTTATTTTTTTTATTATATCTTATTATATTTTCTCCTACTGTATCATGCTGCTGAGTGACTGCTTAACTGAACAGTTGAGCAGCTCAGACTCCCGGCCTCCCTCCCTCTGCTCCTTGCTCACAGCAGCTGAGGCTGCTCAACCTCACAGAAGGAGGCCAGGACAGAGTATGTGGTGCTCAAAGGTTAAAACTGCTGTTATCTGCAAAACTACTGGAGCTCAGGTTCATTTTATGTCCTGAGAGCCAATCAGCATGCGCTCAGAGATACTTTCAAATGATTCTGAGCCAAAAACGTTTAAAGTGCTGGAATCAAGAAATGATGCTGCAGCCGAGCAAACTCCACAGACGTGACCTGCACTGCCTGAGCTGTATCCATAGCAACAAGCATCGTCGGGTGAATGTGACTGCAAGAGGACCTTATTCTGTTCTGACTGACCCATTTCACTCTTCCTACATAAAATTCGGGAATCAAAGTGCAACGAAATTTAAATCAGCTCATAGGCAGAGTGGGAAACTGGCGTTCTCCTTCACCCCTCTCCCAGTTTCTCCTCCTCCTCCTGCTGAGTCTTGTTCTTCCTCGGCCCCGGAGACCTTTCACATTTACATCACATTACACAGTCTGAGATGATGAGAGCGCCATGTACCTGTCAGCTCTGCTCCAGGTGAGGACGCACACACACACACACACACACACACACACACACACACACACACACACACACACACACACACACACACACACACGTTACAGTTAACTTGATAGCACTCAGACCTTGTAATGAGAACATGCACCATGCCTCTGAGGATCATGGGAAATGAGCGCTTCATCATACAGCAGCCATGAAAATCGTCCTTCATCTTAAAACCGCTAATCAAACATCATCTACACGTTCAGAGCTTCATGACGTGACAGACAACAATTCTGATGGCTAAAGAACCAAATGGAACAGGCGAAAAAAAAAAAAAGAGCTTCATGACATTACAGGCGCCATCTTTGAAAAGTGTTCTTGGAATATTATGCATTCATGGTTGTGCACAGATCACTGCAGACCAGTAGGAAGGAAACGTCACAAGAAGAAACTTTACACTTCCTGTCGTAAATAGGTTACAGTGGAAGGATTAACACTGAGACTGTAAGCAACCGATCCCGGGAGGCTCTTCCATCCATCCTCTCATCTGCACCAGCTGCAGTTTCCACCCCCTAAAGGAAGAAGCCAGTGCCCGAGGGTAGCCCCGCTCCCACGGGCATGATTGCCAGGTTGTTGGAGGGCATGTAGCCTCTCTGACCTCCTCTGACCTCCATCAGGCTCCACTCAGGGCTCCCTCGTTTGTTGTGAGGCTCCAGGACATGAACGGGTTCTCTGGCCCAGAAGCAAACTTTGTGTTTGGATCTGGCTGTGAAGTTGTAAGTGCCCACAACCTGAAAACATGAAAAAAAAGGCAGCATTAAAGGTCTCTCCCTCCACACCGTCACTTGTATCCACACATCCTTCCATCACATACATGCACCTCCTGGCTGTAGCTTAGGAGGATCACACATCATCATCGTTACTGAGTTTTCCTGGGCGGCTCTGAACTTCAGCTGATCCAGAGTTAATCTGTGATTCAGCTCCACTCAGTCGCTCCTTTCATAACTGCAGACCACATACAGGAAACAAAGGCAGGAAGTGACAGAGCTCAGCGAGAGCGTCTTCCCTGATGGTGACGTAAATAAAGGTCTGAACGACGCTGCGAGATGCAGATGTTTCCAGCTGCAGGCTGTTACTGCTGCAGAGGCTGATACAGCAGCATTACACACATCAGTCTGTCCTCAGCTCACACACACACACACACACACACACACACACACACACACCCCAACTCGTCTAAAAACACCAGCGTGGGGTCGTTATTACCACCTAACCCGGCTCTTTCTAATAAACTGTGCTCAACAGCAACGGCGCTGTGACTGTAACATCAATGACCACGACAGCATCTGCAGACGACACAGCTTCAGCACGAGGACGAGGAGTGCTCGCCTCTACAGCACACACCAGAGATGCTGAGGAGTTGAAGGCAGAGACTGCTTCTGCTGTACAGACTGCAGCTCAGCTCTTATTCTGCACTGAATTAAGCTCAGAGAAGTTCAACACATCAACACGAAGACAAGAAGAAGTACTCCAAGCACACATGTCGTCATGTATGAGACGAGGGTAGGAAACAACACGTCTTCTTCTACCGTTTAAGAAACAGTCAGCTGATGATGGTATAAAAACTAGGTCTGAGAGGCTGGTGTGGACTGTCCCTCTGAGGTACTGAAGGACAGTGTGTGAGGACGGGCAGACACAGGCCTGCTGCTGCTGCACGTGACCGAGTCAGATCCACATGACGGCTGTTACAGGGTGGTCTAAACACTGTAAACACTGACAGCTTAAACAGTATCCAGCATCAACAACAAGCTGAGAGTACATCCTGCCGGCCTTTAAATCACCTGCTCAGGCAGAGCCGCTCCATTTCACATTACTGTTCAGGAGAAGACCACCGGTGCTCCATCAAGCAGTGTATCAACGGTTACGAGGATGTGACAACGTCACAGTTAGTGTGCACAACAACAAATTCAGTCTTACTGTTGTGGCCAGGGCCATCCTCTGTGCTGTTGCATGCTGGGATGGCCAGTAACGGACAGAGCTGAACTCTGTTAAGGTGGAGAGGTGGATGTTGTGCAGGATAAGGACAACACCTCCCACCCACGCCACGACGTGCTGGCCAGTCACAGGAGCACACTTAGGCTGTGTCCCAATTCAGGGTCTGCACGCTTGAAGCACGCGCACTACGCGTACTACGTACGGTGCGTACTATAAGTA